ATTGGTTTATGATTCTATGATGAGACGATGCGGATGATTTAGTTTAATTATATGATTGTGGTATTATTGATTGTTATGTAGATATTCGTTGTGCTATGGCTTATTGTGAACTGTTTTTATATGTTGTACACCGCCGTGAGTCGCCCTGGGGGGCTGAGAACGGCGGTCAACAAATGCAATAAATAAATAAATAAATAAACATCATTTTAGATGTGGTTCATTATTGCATTCTTCTGAATAGTATCTGGCATTCCCTGCTGATCTCTATTCCAAGTACTAACCAGGCCTCCCTTTTTTAGGTTCCAATACCTTCAGATTTTTGAAGTTTTCCCAGTACACATTCTCATTAATGAATATACATCAGATTTGGGGGGGGGGGGGAGAAACAGCCTAATAAGAATTCAACATAAAGTTTGTTTTGATGCTGATTCATCTCTATGATGAAAAGGCTATTAAGTGACCCTCATCACGTAAGGCACCAGTATCAGCCACTGAAATAATGAACAGGTTTAAATGTCCACTACATAGAGCATATCTGGGCTACAATTGAGCAGAATTATATTTTAAAAACCTTCCCTGGTGAGTTAAAGGAAAACCACCGTTTGTTTTAAACTGAGCTGACATGAAGGTAAAAGGGATCAATCTCAATTTTAGTGTTTTTCAATGTAATTGATTCCTTTTACTAAATAATAAAAGGAAATCCTATTTTGCCAGCTTATGTCCCTCCACTCCTGCCTAAATCAAAGGTCTGCCAGAACCACTTCATTATAGATCATGCCATATAGCCCAACAGAACAACTTTCTTCCAAGCTACATAACAGATGTGTAGTGGTGGGAACAGAACAGAATATTTCTTCCAAATACTGAACTAAAATGGTGGCACAGCTGTTTCAATGGCCTCATGTGACATTCAAACAAACATTTATGGAAAATATAGTAATTCAATGCCATAACCCTGAAAGAAGCATGATTATACAGTAGCTCTTGGAAAACCAATGACCATCAAATTAGAAAATCAGCCATCACCATTTCTGTATTTTCACATTCAATATTTTGCTTTACTAGAAGGGAGCCAAAGACACCGGTCAAAAAAAGACCAAATTGAATGAATAGTCTATATACTTGACCATTAATGAACCAATATTCCACACTATTAATATACAGGAAAGAACAATTCATTAGTAGGGAAAACTGGATCCAAAAAGTAAATAGAGTATTGCTAACACAATAGAAAGATGACCTTGAAGATGGCTCCACTTCAATTTGCCCCAAACTTCATTGCATTTTATTTAACAGTAAATGGCAGCTGTGAAGTCAAACAGCCAGACTGTCAGCCATCAGTTGCCAGAATAAACACATCACATTTCAAAATGAACCTGACTGCGCCATCTAGTTGACAGAGAGCAATCTCCAGCGGGTAAACTAGCTGTTGGCACCAGAATGGCAGCAGCTGTGGATGGAGATGTAGCAGAAAACTTTCTATTTTTCTTCAATATGCTGACACACTATGATAATCTAGGAATATGGTGTTAGGAGGTGGGCAGTTGAGCAAGAGCTGGCGTACAAATCTTAAAATACTCAAATTTTAGACATCTATTTTTTTAAAAAAATCAAAAATTATTCCATAGAAGAGCAATCCTATGCACAATTTCTTCTTAGCATGCCCCATTGAATATAGTAGGATTTATGTCTAAAGATACACAGGATTGCATTGCTCTCTGAAATCATATTCTACATTATATATAATGTGATTTCTACTATAAACAGCAGCAATCATAACGCTAATGCCACAAAATATAATAGTCTGGTTCAAACTTGGTTCAATGAAATTCTCTGCAGCCTGAAGTCAGATGCTCCTACTGTCATTTGTTCACACCCAAATTTTGTTAGACATGAACTGGAAAGGTAAAGGTTTTCCCTTCACGTTAAGTCCAATGGGGTCCAACTCTGGGGGTTGGTGCTCATCTCCATTTCTAAGCCAAAGAGCCAGTGTTGTCCATAAACACCTCCAAGGTGATGACTGCATGGAGCATCGTTACCTTCCCACCGGAGCAGTGCCTATTGATCTACTCACATTTGCATGTTTTCAATCTGCTAGAATGGCAGAAGCTGGGGCTGACAGCAAAAGCTCATGCTGCTCCCCAGATTCAAGTCTTCAACCTTTTGGTCAACAAGTTTAACAGTTCAGTGATTTAACCCACTGTGCCACCGGGGGCTCCATAAACTGGAAAATCTGGGTCCTAATTCATTTCACCAAATAAACTTTGAAACTGGGATCTGGTTCTAAGTGCCAACACCATTTTCTCATCCTTTATATATTTCAGTTGGTTTTTTTTTTTTAAAAAAAAAAAAAAGAGAGAGTGAATAATGCTGCTTGTTTTACAGTGTAAAATATAATACCCTCTGTGTTTATGCAAACTTCTGGCAAACTCTAATCTTTAGGGTAATGGGGACATAAATATGTCCTCTTTTCCTAAATACTTGTTGGAGGTGGACAATATTTGAACTATTAAAGTAGCCCCCCTTCATGTATTATTGTTCCACTTTAAAATCAAATTGAAGTCTTGCACTGCTTACAATACTATAGAACCATTTAATATTCTGCTTAAGAGTTGATTTAAAGGCTTCTAATTGTTATTCAATAGGAAAGTTTTCTTACGAACCACTCCTGGACATGTGGGTGGCAGCAATAAGCCAGATAGTATGTGGGGTGATATATCTCATCAACTAGTACTTGAACAGCAGAGATTTTTAGTTTTATAAAGATACACCACCCTCAGTCCTAATTTCGTATGCTTAAAGAAAGTAGAAACCGCTTGTATGCCTCAATAGTAAGAAGCAATGTAATAAGGAACAGCTTACTGTTTGAAAGTAGCAATGCTATTGTAACAAGTTCCTTTGGGAGGGAAACAAGGCAATGAACTTCCTTTTAAAATTATTAGACCATAATACTTAAAAACATTTTTGAATATAACTTTAAAACATTAGGAGACACTTCAAATACCATTTGTTTTATTTCTCAAAGCAATGCATATTAAATGAAGGAGATCACAAGGGGTAAGTAGAGCTTGCTGGCTGTCATGGCTTTATCTGCTTATCCTTTGGTCCATCATTATTTGATTTTCTAATTATTTAGTTTGTTCGAGCTAATTAGAATGCACACAAGCCCCAATGAGAAACAACCTCTTTACAATGAAAATGTTAAGATATCTTAGGAAAACAACCAAAACAAAAGACCCCCAAAAAGGAAAGTCTCTTTTCCTATTTTTTTTTTTGGGGGGGGGGATATGATCCTCCCTTATTCACAGATCTGATATCCACGATTTCTTACCCATACTCCAAAAAATATTCCCTCCCAGAAGTTTTTATGTGTTATTCTATGGAATGCTCTATAGTCAAAATATAGAGTTTGCTATTATTTGTGATTAAAGTATTCAGGGAAGGGAGGTGGTGGTATTCATTGTCTTTGAACATATCCCCAAGGGTCATATTGTAGATATATGGAAGAAAATCTAAATGCTACCTATCAAATCATTTCCACACCCTCATTTAAAATATTTAGAATACTATTATTCAAACTGCTCTTCTGTATACACTGTATTCCTTTGCATCTTTAGCCAACATCAATGGGCCTCCTTCTTCCCCTTTTGAGTAGACACATATATCAAACCCCAAATGGGAAATATGATGAGCTCTATTGCAACTGACACGGCCAGATTGAAACAAAAATATTACAATTTGATAGTATAAAAGCACTGGTATGGCTGTATATGATGGAGGCAGGGCTGGGTAAAGGACATAATGGTGGAAGTCATGATGTGCAACAGACAAATGCTCTCAACCATGCCATGCTGTGTAGATGTGGAGAGAAGAAACCTACTCAGAAACTCAAAGGAGGGCAGGTGGCTTAAATGAACCATGGCACAAGAGAATCACTCTCTGGTGCTATAGAAGAAAGAAAAATAACACCAAAACAAAAGCTATAGCAGAGCCAATTGCCATCCCTCCTGTTAATACCTAGTCAACTACAATGGCATGGGAACAGGTCGATCTCCTCCGCTGTATGCCTAGAAGAGGAATGAAGCCCAAGATGGGAAATACATGCCCCTACCACAGGCTCTTGAATGCAGAAACAGCCACATTTGGAGTTCACTTATAAAATACCACAAAATAAATGTTTAAAAATCCACACATCATCTAATGGCAAACAAGGCCACCACTTCCCTTCTGACTTTTCTAAAATTCTGCTTAGAAACACAAATCATATGTTAATAAAGTTCCATAGCTGATGTATATAATAGAAGCTATCACTACTTAATCTTAACACATTCTATTACATATGTTTCTTGCAAAAATTTCTTTTTCTGTTCTACTACATTGTGGTGTTCTGGGAAAAAATACAAGGGATTTTAGGTGATAGGACTTCCCAAAATAGCTGTAATATACATAATGAACAGGAACCACAGTTCAAATGCAGCATTTTTGTAAAGAAAACCTGTTCTCCCTCAATCCCTAGAATACGAAAGCACAAATGATATAAACTGTGGATTTGGATCATACATGGTTTAAAACAGACACTGTGACTTTAAATGGAGTCTATTCTAAAATAAATCAGCTTGCACTTCAGAGCGCAAGATCATTTTTAAATATCTAGATTCACAAAAAGCATTTTAATAAACTTTCTTTTAAAGCCGTATGAAAAGTGCGACCACATTAAGTTTTTATTTCACTGAATTTTCCTGTACAGAGATAGCTTGCAAAACAAAACCCCAATAACTTTAATAGGATGGAAGGAGAGGTCAAGGATTTGCCAAACTGTCATCTAAGTTCACACTCAGCATGTCACAACTAGGGAATTCAGTGCTATTTTTCCATTAAGGGAATTTTACTGTTTTAAGCAGGCGCAGAGTGTCTTTAAAAATGAGCAAAACCAGTAAAACAAGTCACACTTTGGATCCATCGATATCAACACTATGAAATCAAGACCACCACCACCAGGGTTTTTACTAACACTTTATTAAAAATTCAAAATTTATTGCAAATTATACTTTGCTTCTCGCCTTTCTTCGTTTTTACACGATTTATTGATATCCATGATTTTTTCACAAATGTACTTGTTGACTTTGGAGAGTCTCTGTGCAATTTCAGCCTCATCCACAGTTTCTTGTGCTATCCTGTCATATAAACATTCTGAAATGAAGAAAAATGGCATTTAGAAAACAACTCAGCAAATATATAATCCATATATACCAGGGACAGCATAGGGAATACAATTTTTTTTTCAGAATTTAAAACCCAAACATAAATTATGTGAGAGTTTTTGCATGGAAGCCTGGAATGGCAGCTAATTCTATGCATGCACACTTCTTAATCATAAACGAGTCTGTCATAAAACAGCACACTTTCTGCCAAGATTTAATACCAAATGTCTCCACCTGCCATTCTGAATTAGAAGGCACTGTCTCTGAACACTTGGACTAGTATCAATTCTGCATTTAGTTGTGGGTGTTTTAAGTTCATTAAAATAAATGAACTTGAGCACCACAAAGCCCAGAGTAATTTTTTTATTTAACATGATTCTGATGGCAATGAAGGCGACTTAGATTTAGCATTCCCTGGCTTTTAGCACACATTTCTACCTCAGACCTCTGAAATCCCAGTCGAACTCTTAGCACTTTATCAAAGTCATGGTCACATGAGCAAGCTCTAGAGAACAATCTATGTTCTTGTTATGTCCATGCTCCCTTTTTGCCAAAGGCAGCAAGTCTTCTAGTTGCTCAAACCCAGCTTTGCCATTTGTCTAAATTTTTCTTGTCTAAATGACACCAATGAAGCTGGTAGTTCAAAGGAAGTAGGAGCTTACAACATTTGTTCCCTGCTGAACAAAAGTGTGATTCACTGCAGCAGCACATTTCTGTGACAGATAAGGATTCCAGAGCTTTCTCTGGTGGATCCAATGAACAGTTATATAGAATTACTGGAGAAATTGGTTATGCTATCCAATAATAACACTTGGAGGGAAAGTGTAAAATTAAGGTATGCAAAAAAGAAACCCAATTTCCTTTGAAGCTGAGTGTTTGCATCCCTACTGCTCATGGATAGGAACAATTGATGGCATCTTTCAAAATAGGGTCCAGATATTAAAACCTCTGTAATCTCTGACTGAAGAAAGAAAACAGCAAACAGCCTAATTATTTAAAAAAAAAAAGCTATGTCAATCATGCTTAATAATAATAATAATACTTTATCTATATACCGCCCTATCTCCCCAGGGGGAGATAGTACATCGGCACTTGATATACAATATATTATACTGTGAAATGGACAATTCTTCCTACAGTAGTATAAGCCATTGTAAATATAGGCTATTACTACTGATAATATTAAGTGACATCCTGACCAATTAAGCAACTTCTGCTTTGCCTACTTTTTTCCAGCAGCAGTTATTTCTTTATATGGCATAAAACTATAAAGATTCACTTAATTAACATGTTTTATAGCACTGTTAATGCACTGTATTAAGGTAATGACAATTAAGTATTCTACATCCTTTGCAGTTCCCTTTGACACCTTTCAGAAGTTTTATAAAAGGTTATTTTTCAGTAACAGGGTTTATAATGTTTGTGTACCATTTTTAATAACTTCCTTACAATAAATTGCACAACAGAGACCACTAAAACAGTAAGATATATTACTTCCATTAAAGCTTAAATCCATATTTTAAAGATGTAACTTAAGGAAGCTGTTTTAGAACGAGAGAATAAAAGAAAAGTCACCCCACAGATACACATTTTATGAGCTCTCATTTTGAAATGCAAATAAAATAAAATAAAGGACGTTATTAGAAAGTAAAGCCCGCTGAACAAAACAGGACTTATTTTGAAGTAAACAGACCCAAGATTGTAATGTTGAGTGCAATAATAACTTAAGTTATATTTAGTTCAATTAATTTGACTTGTACTCATGGTTTTTGGGATTGCACACAAATTCAAAAGACCTCTGAACTACTGTTCCCTGCCTGAAATAGACAGACATTCATAGTCTCTTAGCATATTCATGAAGGGTCTATCAAAGAAAAAAAATCATACTGTATTTTCAAATCAGGACTTTTTGTTCAAACATCTGATTAGTATGGCATTTACTTTTTACTTATCAGACTGCCTTTTTGTGTCTTTTCCTCTTAAAATAGATTGTAGATTTCCTATCTGAATTTTGAATAAAAAACTTGGAGATTAGCAAAATACAAGGCTTAATATCCACAAATATTGTCTATGTATGTAGAAATAGTAACTTGGTAAAGATACTGTGTGATGTGCATTGATCCTATATATACATAGAGCACGAGATACACTATCACCCTGACAGACATGCTGATTGCCCTGAATGTTCCTTCAGTAAATATTCATATATTTACTGAATGTTACTTCAGTAAATATATGTTCAAATGTGTTAGAGCTGTGGTCCTGTACCACTCATACTCAGGATTCACAAGAGAGAACTGAGGTACAAGGAAACAGGAGGAATGGACAATTTGCACTAAAGCAAATGCTTTGTCCCCTGAAAACACATTGGAACTTGTGCATACTGCTAACACTCAGATACAAATATCCAAATAGCAACCTCTACTCCATTTCAATAGACAAGGCTGCCAGGAAAGCACAAGTCATACAGCCAAGCAAGGAAATGGGAGGAACCCTTATGGTAATCACATCGGCCAATGTTTCATGGCTATGTTTTGATGTAAAGGATTGCAGTTTCAATCCATGAAGCAAAAGAACACAATGCCCATAGATTTCACTGCACTGTAACCCACTAGCGCAGTGGTTCTCAACCTGGGGTCCCTAGATGTTTTTAGCCCCCAACTCCCAGAAATCCTAATAGCTGGTAAACTGGCTAGGATTTCTGGGAGTTGTAGGCCAAAAACATCTGGGGACCCCAGGCTGAGAACCACTGCACTAGCGGGAAGAGAGGAAATGTATTCATAATTCATTTTCTGCCCATGAAGGTAGAAAGCTGAGGCAGAAGCTGTGCACTCAGGTTCAGCTTCACCTGACCTGAGCATGGCACTCCATGGAAGAATCATAGAGTTGGAAAAGACCTCATGGGCCATCCAGTCCAACCCCCTGGCAAGAAGCAGGAAAATTGCATTCAAAGAACCCCCGACAGATGGCCATCCAGCCTCTGTTAGACAGGCGGGGAACCTGGGAATCAGTCATTCCACTATTCGCTCAGTTGTCTTCCTTGGACTATGCATACTATACTTATTTATTTTGCTTAGTTTGAAAATAGGAGTATTTGAAGCCCTGCTTAAATGAACCTGTAGAATTGCGATTGCTGCTAACTGTGCTCCTGGGGTTGATGGAGAGGAGGGTGTTTGGCATAGCAGCATATGCAGGCTGATGTTGGGTGCATTTCATCAACCCGAGTGCCCTCATTTCTGTGAATAAATATCATTACAGGCACATGCCCAGATTGGTGGAGAATTACAGTGTTTCAAATGACATTGTGGGTGTTGTTTATACGCTGTTTATTGTATTTCCTGGTTTTGTGTGTTTTCTCCATTCATTCCTGCTTGGAAAACCTACAGTAGTGAATCCACTGGAACTGTACTGTAATTTTGGCACCCATACTACATCCTCTTGCGTATTAAACACATAGGACTTTTGGGATCATTTTTATAGTATTCTGAGAGCACAATTTCTGAAGAACTATCAGATTTAGAAATAGCTTACCCCTGACAATACTTAATTTGTGAGGTGACAACGGTGGTTTGGGAACAGCATCTTTCTTTTTTTTGGTTGCAACTCCTGTAACGCTTCTGTTTTTGAGAACATCGGTTCCCCAGATCATAACGGCTAAGTTTTTTGTATACTTTGAATCTCCTTGTGTTACTTGCAGCTGGTGCCACTTCTCCTCATCTACCCAGATGCCACTGCCAAGATGAACCTGAAATGTAAAATAAAATAGCAGTCAATTAGCAGTTGGCATATGCCATTGAAAAGTGATAATGAAGTGACCTGTTTCATCTTTCATAACACCATAACACTATCTTTACAAAGCACACACCTGCCTTTAATCCCTCCAGATTAAAAACATTACTATATGAGAATCAGCCTGAAACATAAATTCTGTGAAAATTCCTGAAATGAAAGGAAATAAATGGAAATAAAATTGTTCCATAAATCAACTAAATTAACAAGTCATTCACATCACCATGAAAGCTCTCCTATGGTGAATACTGTCTAAGAAAGATGTATGCTCAGTTATCTTTGTCAAACAAAGGAGTTCTGAGCTACTTCCTGGATTCCCAAGACACGCATGTCTAAGAAGATATGAAGTTCTCCCAAAGCTATGTACCGGTATTTTCCTTCCGGGTGTGGTTTGTGGGTGGATTTTGCTGAATAAGTGTCAAAACATCACCAAAGGCTCTGAGGTGTCAACTCAGGAAATATCTGTCAGAATCTTATAGGTATGTCTCTTGATGTTACATGAGTGACATAAAATACACCATAATTCTACTTTATGTTTAGAAGTTGTCTCTTAGAATACCTTTCCATTCTCAAGAATATATTTGTCCATTACTGGAACAGCAGCTGGATAGTATGTTGATGTGTTTGCTTCTTCACTGAAAGTGGTCTGTACTTCAGACTCAGGCTCAATGGATTCTGGTGTTACTTTTTCAAGTTCTAGGGCTGGGCCTACAAAGGTTTTAAAAAGATGCAATATATTAAGCAGCATTAATATCAACATCTTAAATGGATTTTGCTGTCAATTGGTCAGATTACAACAGAATAAAAAAGGGATCTAACTTTTAAAAAACCCTACACCATGAGTAACAACAACCCCTATTGCTTTATTAGAGACATATATTTTCGTAATAGGTACAATATACTAAAACTTAACAGGAAAAATCTGAACACACTTCAGACTACAGAAGATAAATATGATAAATAATTGGCAAAGAACTGGAATTGTAAGGGAATGGGAGAGTTGAATTGATTCAGCACAAATTCAATTACTGATTTCTTGGAAAGCTTGTCACAATACTGCTTTTATTTATTTCTTAAAACATTTATTTCAGAGAGAGAGAAAACCAAGTACAAAGATATGTAAAGCTTGAAAAAAAGAAAATAATGAACTGATCATAAGCCAAAAATACTTGGTAACACACTGTTAAGGCCAGCTGTGTGTCTGGCCTGGTTCAGTTACTGCTGGGAGCAGGTCTCCAGGAGAGGAAGAATCTTCTTGGTGTTGCAGCAAGCTTGGAAGGGCTGAATCTGACCACCTCTTCCTCAAAGAAAGTATCTCAGGCTTCCAAGATTATTGGTGAAGGCTTGCTGAAATGAGCTACAGCTGAGATCTCTTGATAAAAAGGGGTTGGAAGAGATGGATCTTTGATAGCAGATAACATTGTGCATTGGTATTCTTGTCCTGGATCTTGGTTCTGCTGAGTTATTATTATTATTATATTTATTTTATGCCCCACTTTATCTCCTCTAAAGAAGACTCAAAGCTGAGGGCTAGAATTCTGGACTCTGACCTTATTCCTGGAATCCTGTTCTAGATTATGCTGAATCTTGAATCCTTGATTTTGAATTCTGGACTAACTTCCTGGCTTTGATTTATGAACTTGAACTTCAGTTTGACCCCTGACTGCTCCTGGCTTGACTTCAGAACTCTGACTACTGCTTGTCATCTTGGATTCTTGAACATTGTTTAAAGAACTCTGATAAGTGAACTTGGAACATCTACTGGACTGTAGCTTTGGGATTACTTAGTACTTGGCTTGTCTGCATTAATTGGACTTTTCAGCTTGGCATGTGTTCATCATTACTCCAGCTGTGTGCTGCAGTTCTTTTTTGTTGGCCAAACCTTTTTTGTTTAATAAACCTCAGCCCTTGATACCAGCCGAGTCCTGGCATACGACAAACAAAGTTACATCCTTGTAGGCAAGCTGACTTATTATACCTTGATTAATGCATGTTCAAATTCTTACCTGCTCTAAACCACAACATTAAACTATCCCAACCTATCCCAACTATTGATATTCTTAGAATAAATAAGTTATGTTTCTGGAATAGCCACTGTCTGATCACATCTACAACCCAAATGAATTTTACCAGCTTAAGATGTTATAATTTCTTACACAGTATCTTGAAATTGTAGAGAAACTATTTCCCAAAGGCCAACATATTCAAACCAACATTTGTCATGGTGGCACACAGCTGTTGTTTGGGTCTTCTGTGCAGCTCACCATCTTTATACAGAGAACACTACCAAAATGATTGACATAAAATTGGGTAGAAGACCACTGAACAAAACAGCAGATAAGGAGAATTTGTATTGTCAAAGGCTTTCATGGCGAGAATCACTGGGTTGTAGGCTTGGGTAAATACGGAAAAATTTGGTTCTAAACTCGTTTAGTTTTTAGGGGGTTTTTGCGTTTCGTTTTTTAAAAGAATTCCGAAATTTTTCTTTAAAAAAGTTCAAAATATACGAAATTTCGGAAATTATGAAACAATTACGAATCGATTCATTAATGGCGGACGCGATTGCGCAATATGCTAAAAAAACCTCCAAATGGGACAGGGGGAACTTCTGAAGCTTCCCTCTCCCTCTGTTGTTGACTGTTGGTGTGATAATTAATTTTTTATCACTGATAATGTATTTATTACTGTGCTTATATATTTATTACTGTGCTTATATACCGCCGTTTCTCAGCCTAAATCGGCGACTCAACGCGGTTTACAACACAACGACAAGCAGCAATATTCCATTAAAAAGCATAAAAACACATACACAATACACAATATTATTGGGCCACCAATAATAATCCAATGCATCTCTTAATTGTAGTCGCAATCCAATTTCGTCGTCTGTGATTAACCAATCCTTGTTCATCAGTTTCGTTGCACCAGATTAATCGAATGCTTGTTTAAACATCCATGTCTTCAACCTTTTTCGAAATACCATCAGCGAAGGGGCTGATCTCACCTCTATGGGGAGGGCATTCCAAAGCCGAGGGGCCACCACAGAAAAGGCCCTGTCTCTCGTTCCCGCCAGCCGCACCTGTGAAGCAGGCGGGATAGAGAGCAGGGCCTCCCCAGAAGATCTTAGGGTCCTGGTGGGCTGATAGGCCGAGATACGTTCGGATAGATAAGTTGGGCCAGAACCGTTTAGGGCTTTAAAGGCCAGCGCCAGCACTTTGAATTGAGCCCGGTAGCAAATCGGCAGCCAGTGGAGCTGGTGCAGCAGAGGAGTTGTATGCTCCCTGCGCTCCGCTCCTGTTAGTATCATGGCTGCCGAGCGTTGGACTAGTTGGAGCTTCCGAGCCATCTTCAAAGGCAACCCCACGTAGAGAGCGTTGCAGTAGTCTAAACGGGATGTAACCAGAGCGTGGACTACCGTGGCCAAGTCAGACTTCCCAAGGTACGGGCGCAGCTGGCGCACAAGCTTTAATTGCGCAAATGCTCCCCTGGTCACCGCCGAAACCTGGGGTTCCAGGCTCAGCGATGAGTACAGGATCACACCCAAGCTGCGAACCTGCGTCTTCAGGGGGAGTGCGACCCCGTCTAACACAGGCTGTAACCCTATACCCTGTTCGGCCTTACGACTAACTAGGAGTACCTCTGTCTTGTCTGGATTCAATTTCAATTTGTTCGCCCCCATCCAGACCGTCACAGCGGCCAAGCACCGGTTCAGGACCTCGACAGCCTCCTTAGTAGCAGGTGGAAAGGAGTGACAGAGTTGGACATCATCTGCGTACAGATGACATCGCACTCCGAAACTCCGGATGATCTCACCCAGCGGCTTCATGTAGATGTTAAACAACATGGGAGACAGTATTGAACCTTGAGGAACCCCACAAGACAAAGGTTGTGGGGTTGAACAGGAGTCTCCCAGTAACACCTTCTGAGACCGACCCTCGAGGAATGAGCGGAGCCACTGCAGAACAGTACCTCCAAGACCCATCCCCGCGAGGCGTCCCAGAAGGATACCGTGGTCGACGGTATCGAAGGCCGCTGAGAGGTCCAGCAGCACCAACAGGGACACACTCCCCCTGTCGAGCTCCCGGCGCAGATCATCCACTAAGGCGACCAAGGCTGTCTCGGTACCATGCCCTGCCTAAAGCCAGACTGTGCCGGATCCAGATAATCCGTGTCTACCAAGAATGCCTGGAGTTGTGAGGCCACCACACATTCCAGGACTTTGCCCAAAAAGGGTAGATTGGAAACAGGCCAATAGCTGACGAAATGAGTGGGGTCAAGTGATGGTTTCTTCAACAGCGGTTTTATTATAGCTTGTTTTAAGCTCACTAGAACTATGCCTTCCCAAAGGGAGGCATTAACCACTACCCACTCGGCCAATCCTCCTCTGGCCTCCTTTAAAAGCCAGGATGGGCAGGGGTCTAGGATGCATGTGGTAGCTCTCATTCCTCCAAGCACCTTGTCCACATCCTCGGATTGAACCAATTGAAATGAATCCATCAAAACTGGACAAGCAGATGCTCGTGTTACATCCTCAGAGACTGCCGTTAATATGGTATCCAGTCCAGAGCGGATCAAAGCGACTTTGTCTGCAAAGAACTGAGCAAAAGCTTCACAGCGAGCTGCCGAGTCATCAGGGCACCCATCCTGAGTGGTGGGTTTTAACAGGCCTCTGACAACTCGGAACAGTTCAGCCGGACGGTTCTTTGCAGACGCAATAGTGGCCGCAAAGAAAGTCTTCTTTGCGGCTTTTATTGCCGCGGCATATGCCCTTAAAAAGGACACAAACCGTGTTCGATTTGGCTCGCTCGGATCCGAACGCCACACGCTCTCTAGTTCCCTCTTCTTTCGCTTCAACGCTGCCAGCTCCTCGGTGAACCAGGGAGCTGGTTTAGCTCGGCTACTTGAGAGGGGACGTTCTGGAGCGATCGTGTCTATTGCCCTAGTCATCTCCCCATTCCAGAGAGCGACCAGAGTATCAACAGGATCACCACCGAGGTGGCGGGAAATTCCCCAAGAGCCTTCAGGAATCCATCCGGATCCATAAGCCTCCTGGGGCGGACCAGCTTAATGGGTCCTCCACCTCTGCGGAGGTTAGGGGGTGCAGTGAGCCTAAATCTGACCAGGAAGTGGTCGGTCCATGGCAACGGAGAGATGGTTACTCCTCAACACCGCCACCTTCCTCCCATCCCTGGCAGAAAACTAAGTCCAATGTATGTCCAGCACTGTGGGTGGGGCCAGATACTTGTTGGGACAGCCCCATGGTCGCCAAGGTAGACATGAAGTCCTGAGCCGCTCCCGTTAGGGCAGCCTCGGCGTGGACATTGAAGTCCCCCAGCACGAGCAGCCGTTGGGACTCCAATGCCAGGTCCGAGACTACCCCCGCTAGCTCAGGTAGGGAGACTGTAGTGCAGCGAGGTGGACGGTACACTAACAGAATCCCTAATCTGTCCCGGTCACCCATCAGGTGGACGCATTCAAAATTTGTTGACTGCGGGATGGGGGCCCTGGTCAGAAGAATGGAATCTCTGTAGACCACTGCAACCCCGCCTCCCCGCCCTCCGGATCTTGGTTGGTGCTGCACAGAGAAACCTGGTGGGCAAAGCTGGGTCAAGTTTACACCTCCCGCTTCGTCCAACCAGGTCTCTGTGATGCACGCCAGATCTGCCCGTTCATCCAGGATTAAATCCTGGATGAAAGTTGTTTTACCATTGACAGATCTGGCGTTCAACAGCATCACTTTCAATCCGGAGGGACCGCCATCCTGGTTACACCAACTTACCATATCAGGAGACCGATTTGGAATTACTAATGTTGTTCCACAGTCCCTAGGCCGAATTAAAGGTCTCCTTTTCCCGTATCTCCCCCTCCCCACCACGACTTCTATGGGGGCTCCTCGGTTAACGGAAGCCTCTCCCTCCTCCATGACGCATTCAGCAGCCAAAGTATCACCCCATAGATCATTATTGACTGTTTGGTATGTTACAACTTCAGATTGCCATAGTCTTGCTTTACATTCATTTCCCGCTCCTGCTATATTATACGCGGGTCTTTCTGAGCTACTCTGTTCCCTCTCTCCACTATAAACAGTTAGCAGCAAGATTAACAAATGCCAGGGAATGGGTAGTGACATGAATGATAGTTGTTAAACACTGTCAGAAAAGTTCACTAAGTTCCTAAAGTGCAGATAGATAATTATATCAGCATACACAATGGTATAATTGATTAAAGTGCAATAGCTTGTCAATGGCTCTAAAGTGCTAGATGAAGTGCGTCATGGAGGACTTAGAGTCAACACTAGATGGTTAAGTCGATTAAAGTGATAAAGTTCGATAGAGTTAATAGACCATGAAGGTAGTGAGTTAAGGTGCTGATAGAGTAAAGTGCTTGAGTCAAACAGGATAATTGTATGCTGTACTTACCAACAGTGCAACGGTTAGTTCTTAATTTCTCCGTTCAAACAATTAAATATAGTTGTTGTTATTACTACAGATTAAAACCCCCCGCCTCTCTTAGATTGCTGTCCCGAAAGATGTATCAGGTGACAAAATGGACAGCACAGTCCTTCTGGAGATAGCGTTGAAGAGGTGCTCCGTACAACCACAATAAGGGTGGTCAGCACAATCAGGGAAGATGGTCAGCACAGTCAAAAATGGTCGGCACAGTCAAAGGAGGTCAACACAGATGAGGATGGTCAGTACAAGCAAAAATGGTAAAACTTGCACCAGACATACGGAACTAATTACGAAACATTTTCGAAACAATATCGAAACAATTACGAAATAAATTGAAAAAATTGTTTTGATTTTTAATTACTCCTGCATGGCTCAATATCGGATCGTAAGCTAATTTAAATACGAATTAATAACGAATTACGAAATTAACAAACGAAACCGCCCAAGCCTACTGGGTTGTTGTAGGTTTTTTCGGGCTATATGGCCATGGTCTAGAGGCATTCTCTCCTGACGTTTCGCTTGCATCTATGGCAAGCATCCTCAGAGGTAGTGAGGTCTGTTGGAACTAGGCAAAAGGGTTTATATATCTGTGGAATGACCAGGGTGAGACAAAGGACTCTTGTCTGCTGGAGCTAGGTGTGAATATTTCAACTGACCACCTTGATTATCATACAATGGCCTGACTGTGCCTGGGGCAAACTTTTGTTGAGAGGTAATTAGATGCCTGCTTCCTCTCTGTTGTTGTGCTGTTGCAATTTTAGAGTTTTTTAATACTGGTAGCCAGATTTTGTTCATTTTCATGGTTTCCTCTTTTCTGTTGAAATTGTCCACATGCTTGTGTATTTCAATCTCTTCTCTGTGTAGTCTGACTTGGTGGTTGTGAGAGTGGTCCAGCATTTCTGTGTTCTCAAATAAAATGCTGTGTCCAGGTTGGTTCATCAGGTGCTCTGCTATGGCTTATTTCTCTGGTTGAAGTAGTCTGCAGTGCCTTTCATGTTCCTTGATTCATGTTTGGGTGCTGCATTTGGTGGTCCCTATGTAGACTTGTCCACAGCTGCATGGTACACAGTAGACTCCTGCAGAAGTGAGAGGATCCCTCTTGTCCTTTGCTGAACGTAGCATTTGTTGGATTTTCTTGGTGGGTCTGTAGATAGTTTGTATGTTGTGTTTCCTCATCAGCTTCCCTATGCGGCCAGTGGTTCCCTTGATGTATGGCAAGAACACTTTTCCTCTGGGTGGATCTTCATCTTTATTCTCGTGGCTTGTTATATATAATATATAAGGAGAATTTCTTTTTCAAATCTGATGAACTTGCGATAAAATGAAAAATTACTGGTCTAAGATTTATTTGTTCATTCCAAAAATTAAAACTACACATAGTAATGTTACTAGAAATATTTCTGCAGAGCATTATTGTTAAAGATTTAGATTGTAAATGACAACACCACCAAGATTATGCTTTACTCAAATTTGGAAATAGACTGAAGCACAGATGATGGAAGAATGGATTGTTTCACCTGCTGAGTTGACCCAAATGGACAAATTAATGTGGCTTCTAAACATACCAGTATGGCAGATGAAAAATTTCTGAAGGCTGGAAAAATGCATAAATATTACAAGAAAGACAAACTCTAATGACGTAATTAAGCTGTGGTAATGGCTTTTACCAACTTTAATGAGATTATGTATTAGATGTGTGTTGGTGGAATAAGAATACTTTTTCTTGTCTTTTTTCCTTCCCTCTCCTATATTTTTGAATGTATATTATTTTGTGGTAATATAGATTGCTGGTGTTAAATATAACAAGTAATTGAATATATTGGGGGAGAGGGCGTAAACTCCCTTCAACGTGCCTTTTTTACCCCTTCTATCAATAGCTTGAAACAACAGACTTTCTTACCACCTAAACAGAACTTTATAGAAACTACAGGGTATGGCAGGCATCAGCATTCCATCAAGATTGTAAAGGGAAGACTGTGGGTTTGGACTTTTACCTTCTACTGTAATAATGAGAAGCACAGAGACCAAGAATAATAAAAACCACAGTATTGTAAAGAAATTAGTCAGCACTTTGTTCTTTTGTACTGAAAATACAACCATCTTCCCAACATTCTGGGACTGGCATGCTTAACTAAAGCTGTGGTTTACCACCTAATTTAGGAAAACCTACAGGCCTCCCAAATGATGAGTTGATAGTTTCCTTAAAACTGAATTCAGGGAGGAAAATCACACACATGTTTTCTTAAGTATTTTCCCTAAATGGAAATCTGAAGTACATATAATGTTCAATTTCTCAAACACCTTGTTATTGTTCTGTACAATCAAGTAATTTCTGACTTAGAGACCATGAGGTTTTCTTAGCAATATTTGTTTGGATGGAGGTTGCCTCTGAAGCTGAGAGAATGTAACTTGCTCAATGTCACCTAGTAGGTTTCCATGGCCAAGTGCAGACTTGAACTCTGGTCTCCAGAATCCTAGGCCCCTTCTACACTGTCATATAATCCAGATTATCAAAGCAGATAATCCACATTATTAAGTGGATAATTTGGATTTCATATGGCAATGCAGAAAGGGGTCCTAGTCTTAATCCTCAAACCACACCACCATGCTGACTCCCGATCTTTTTGAAGTAACTCATATAAAATAGTAAATGGTACTTTTGTATTTCTTAATTCTAAAATGTTTCTTTCTTTCTTAAAATAAAGGTGGTAACTATATCTGCTGCAAAGCACACCATTGAAAACATTTAAGTGCAACTACAGCAGAATAATGGCAGGAGTGCTGAGTTTCGAGTGGGGAAATCCAGGTTGAAATCACTCAAGTATAAAACTCTCTTGGTGGTCTTGGGCTAGTTATTTTCTTATCCTTGCTATCATGCAAAATCAAATGGAAGGTGACCACAATTGAGAAGTGATGAGTAAAGAAGAGTTATAAGATACATTGTGGTAAGATTTTGCCACCACTAACAAAAGACTGACCAATTTCTGCATTGTACTCCCAACTGAAATATCTGAACTTGTTATGCATTCTACAACAATTTATAATTCTAGGACAACATGAAATCTTTAGAACATGCCTTTATTCAGAATCCAACTGTTGTTGTTTAATCGTTCAGTTGCTTCTGACTCTTCATGACCTCATGGACCAGCCCCATGCCAGAGCTACCCGTCAGCTGTCGCTATCCCCAGCTCCTTCAAGCCAGTCACTTCAAGGATACCATTCATCCATCTTGCCCTTGGTTGGCCCCTCTTCGTTTTTCCTTCCATTTTCCCGAGCATCATTATATTTTCCAAACTTTCCTGTCTTCTCATTATGTGGCCAAAGTACTTCAGGTTTGCCTCTAAATATCCCTCTTTCCAGTGAGAAGCCGGGCATTATTTCCTGGAGTATGGACTGGTTTGGTCTTCTTGCAGTCCAAGGCACTCTCAGAATTTTCCTCCAACACCACAGTTTAAAAGTGTCTATCTTCCTTCGCTCAGCCATCCTTATGGTCCAGCTGTCACATCCATAGGTTACTACGGGGAATACCATTGCTTTAACTATGCAGATCTTCGTTGCCAGTGTGATGTCTCTACTCTTCACTATTTTATCAAGATTGGTCATGGCGCTCCTCCCAAGAGGTAAACATCTTCTGATTTCCTGGCTGCAGTCTGCCTCTGCAGTAATCTTCAAGCCTAGAAATACGAAGTCTGTCACTGCCAAATGTTTTCTCCCTCTAATTGCCAGTTATCAATAATCTGGTTGCCATAATCTTGATTTTTTTTAATGTTTTACTGCAACCTAACTTTTGCACTTTCTTCTTTCACCTTGGTTATAAGGATCCAACTAGACATATTAAAAATATATCATTAGTACTATTATGCTATTTGAATCTGAGTTTCAAGAATTAGCCCTGACAACACTATTTCAAAATGATGTTTTAAAAGAAGAGCTTCTCTTCATTTTGTGTGAGAAAATAATTCTTAAGAATGTATTCCCCTCCACCCATCCAGCTTCTTCTCCCACACACACATTTTCACCTCAAGACAAAGGATTAGAACTTGCATTTCTTCTACCTTGTGATTACCACAGCTTCTCTTTTTGGTGAACACAGGACAGGGCAAAATCAATGATAGACAGGAGCTTAAATGGGGAAGCAGGAACAAGAGGAATGGAACCACTTTCTTTTTTCTACCAACCTGGACTTAACTGTTTTTTTGGAAGCTAAGAGATCAATGCTGGGGATGGAGGGTTGAGGTGGGTCACCTCCAGGTCTGGGGAGAGAAGGCACACAGAATCAGTCATAGTCATCATTTTCCTCAATTTCTTATCCAGCTCAGGCTTGTGTGCAGCAGGTTCCACAGTTATAGGAGTATGAAGGTGGGAACCCATATATGTCAGGTCATGGACAGCTGTCAGCATCGAGGTCTTAAGGACCTGGGACCTGGATCGATGCATGCATGGGATTATGGGCACTTTGTTAACTGTGTGCCTTGTGTCAACAGAAACCAATGACCTCAACAGCCAGGGGACCATAGAAGCTATGATGAGTCAGCAAACTTCTATGACATCTGGACCTTAGTGGGGAGTGAGAGAGGATACTTTGCAAAGACTGCAGTGGGATGGCACTTGATCAGAATCAAACATGTTTTGACTTCTGCCTCCTAATGGCAGAGGGATAATGTTGATGTCCTAGATTGAGATTGTTGAGGGGCCTTTTTGACCATAGGCTATTGGGAAGCCTGGATTGGCTCTTCAGGAGGTTGTCCTTCAACAAGGGTGCAAGGCTCCTGAGGCATTGGTATAGTCCCACACTCAAAGCACTCAGACTTGTCCTCGTTCTTCCTAGGACTGTCTGAAACAGCAGCCAGGGCCGAGGTGTTTTTTTGGTGTTTTTTTGGTTTTTTGTTTTTGCAAAGAAGCTTCTGCCAACCATTGCCTTGAGCTTTTAAGATTTTTTTTGTATATGTGTCATCTGAGTGAGCGCATTTGGACATGGAAGTTGAAAGAGTAGGAGCCTCCGCCAATGTAGCATCAGATTTGGCCTTGGCAGACTTACAAAGTCTGCTGGATGGTACAGAGGGAGTTTCAGGAGTGGTAGAGATAGAGAAGGAAGGCCAACCTTGAAGGATGATGTAGAGGGCCACTTTTAGGCAATGATCTCTGTTTTTTCCTGCATGCTGTTGTGAAAGTCTGGCAAATCTTACAGGCCAAGACCAGATTAAGCAGCAGGAATTGCCATCATTATTAGATATTTTGGTCTTACAGACTGCACATAACTTTAATGATGTGGTAATCTTCATGGCATGCCTCCCAGGATTCAGACAGATAGAAATTTTGAGAGGTCCACAGGAGTACAAAAAAAGAAAAAACAAAAAACTAGCCAACTAACTGATTAGCTGAGCTGGAAGGGAACCCTGCTAGCGCAAAGGATTGAGTTCTAACTAAAGACTATCTAATCTAGTACTGAAAAGACTATCTGACTATAGAACTGAGGCAAAGGCGATGCCTGTCCATTATATATCATCGGGAAGGTGGATGGAGTTACCGTCAAAAAGTATCTTTTAGAACTCTAGAATGTTTCAAATTGTCAGCGCAATTAACCCAATTCTTCTCTCGTTTTTCTGTTTCAGACATGATGGGAATACTAAATGCTCCCATCGTTTCCAAAGAACCAGAGGGCTGTGGGAAGAAAAATGGCAAACTCGAAGTTTCATAGGAAGTCAATGTTGTAATGATGAAATCTTGGAGGATGAGAGCCGGACATTTCACAAAGCTGCCCGACATCTCGTTGTTATAGATAAGTAAGAAATGGTTGCTTTCATATGAAGGAATGTCTGCCCCTGCACCCTGAAAATTCAAGGAATATGCAAAATGTATTTCTGCTTCCCCTACATCATGGAAAACCAATACAGATCAACAAGATAAGAATAACAAATTTATTTGGGGAATGCACATGTTAT